GCAGGTATCTGGGATTTATTTATCTTCCATAATTGAAACTTTGTAGCCTTGAGCAGAGCCCAGGGCTGGCCAGGGCAGGCGGGAAGCTTGGCTTCCTCCATCGCCGGGGGCAACCCAAGCCTCCTGCTCGCTCCAGCTCTGTGGCCACCGCCATCTTAGTTGGGTTAATTTGCATACTCGCTCCTGATTGGCTTGTGGGCGTGGCTTGAGCATAGTGGAGGGACGGTTAATTTGCATGTTTCTCTTTTATTATATAGGATGGTTATTTGTTACTGGCTTCTTTCACTTACCATGTTTTATGCCTGCTCTTTGAGGGTAAGTATCTGGCTAATTCTTACTTATCCTTCAAGTCACAGCTCAGAGATGATCACTTCTGGGAAGTCTTTCCTTAACCCCACAGCTGCATTAGTTATTTATATATACTTGTAAATTCTCTATAATCACTTCTAATTAGAGACCTTATATTGCCTTCAAATTGTCTTCCCTACTTGCTTGCTCTAGATCCCATCCTCTCTTCCATACTCAAGAATATTGCTATAGCAATTCTCTACCCTCCTGCCTTATCCATTTCCCTCATCCTCTTGGAAATACTCTTATTTCTCCCATTAAAGCAACAACAACTCCTCTTCTCTGGACTCCACTTCCCCATCTAGCTACTGCCCTTTCTTTCCTTCCTCTTACTGCTAAACTTTCGTTTTGTTGTTGTTGATTACCACCCACCCACCCTCCCCCACCTTCTCTCTGAGATTCCCCACTCTGTTCCATGTCTCTGGGTCCATTCTGTTCATCAGTTTATTTTGTTACTTAGATTCCACATCTGAGTGCGATCATGTGATACTTGTCTTTCTCTAAACTTCTTGAAAGAGTGTTCCCATTTGCTGTCCTTCTCACTCCATCCTAGAGTCTGGTTTTCACCCCTAGCACTTCACCAAAACTGTTCCCATTACGAACACCAGAGGTTTTCACACTGTTCCAGTGTTCAATTTTCAGTCCTCATCTTACTTGACTTACCAGTAGCATTTGACAAAGTTGATTATTCTCTCTGTGACTTTCTTCCCACCAGTCAGTTGACTACCTTTCTATCTGCATCTCCTCAGTTGCTGTTTTTTTTTTTTTTATCTCCCTCCTGTTTATAATTTAGAGGGCCAAAGCTCAATTTCTAGAATCTCTTATTTAGAAATCTATACACAACACACCTCCTTGGTGATTTCTTCCTACCTCATGGTTTAACATATTGTCTATATACCATCAGTTTTCAATGTCACAACTCTAGCTTGAACCTCTCCCTTCAAGTCCAGAATCCCATCTCCAAATGGATTTCTAATAGACATCTCAAACTTAGCATGTCCAAAACTGAGCTCCTGATATTCCACCCATACCTGCTCTACCTGTAGTCTTTCAGACCTTAGTAAATGGAAACTTCACCTTTCTAGTTGTTCAGGGCAAAAACCTTGCTTCTATCCTTGATCTCTCTTTCTCTAGTACACCCCATCTAATCCATCAGCATATTATGTTAGTTTTACTCTAAAAATATATCCAGAATAAAGTCATGTCTTATTCCTTCTGTGGCTACCACCCTGGTCCAAATCACCATTACTTGCTTGAAATACTTCTATATGTTATAACTATCTCTACTACCCTGCTCTCAGGCTATTTATAATAGAACAGCTAGAGTGAAACAAGTCACATTATGCTACTTCTCTCCTCAGATCTGTATGTGCATTTGCTTCCTACCTCACTCAGGGTTTAAAACAAAGTCTTTATAAGACAAGGCTTTCAGGATCTGACCCTGTCCTGTACCCATCTCCTCCTCATTTGCTGACTTTGCTCTAGCCACACTGACTTCCTTGATTGTATCAGTCATATCCCTGCCTTTGTACCTACCATTCCCTCAACTTATCTACATGGCTTATCACTAAGTTCATTCCTGGCTATATTATCTAAAATTGTAACACTCTTGAAATTCCTTAGGCCTCTGGCTTTATGTTTCTCCCTAGCATTTATACTATCTAATATGCTATAGACTTAAATTACGTGCCTTGTTTACTATTTGTCTCGCCCTTATCCCCAGAATGTAAGTTTCTTGAAGGCAAGGTGTTTTGTTTTGTTTTTAATTCCATAAAATCCTCAAACCCACAACAATGCATGGCATACAGCAGCTACTCAATAAAGAAATGAATGAAAAAACAAACTACACTGTAGATTGTTTAACAGCAGGGACCATGTCTTACTTGTCTCTGTATTCCTACTACCTACCAAAGTACCTTAGCACACAGAAAGATCTCAGTAACTATGAACCAATGAATGAATGAATGAATGATACAAAAGAATCACCACAGAGGTAACAATAAAGTTGCCATTTTTGGTAAGGATTCTTCTCTCTTTTTGATGTGTCTATGGTGGTGGGACAACAATAAGTGTGGGAGACTAGAGTGAGTGCCTCTTGCCTTTCAACTTGAGATAACGTGGGAGGGCCATAGGTGGAAAAACGAGACGGCCATGTGTGCAATGGCTACCAGAAATTTCTGGCAGTGTCAAACCTGCTGTGGACCCTTTTCTCCCTGCATCTTATTTTATTTCCTGATGTCCCTATAAAGTTTCCTGAAATATACCCATACTTTGTCTGTCCTTATCCATCTCATGAACACTGTGTATCCTTAAAATTTATTGATAATCTCACTTTTGGTTTATTTACATCTATCTACAAAAGCAATAAAAATTCGTAAATCAGGGGATTTTAACAATTTATCATTTGTTGTGGTAAAAACATGTTCTCTAAGGCAAAAGTACCAACATAATCCATAAATATAGTCAAAAGGTTGATGAAAATGATAGTCTCTGCACTCAGTGAATTATAATCAAGTTAATCATATTTAATGGACTATTAGCATTTGTTCTAGAAATGTGTTTTACAAGACTAAAATCAACATATATTTATTAAAAATTAATGTCTAGAGTAATGAGCATTTTATAAATGATGATAAAAGGAAATTCCAGTTATGTTATATCATGTCATAATTTATGAGCAAACATATGATAAAAAAGAGAAAATGCTACAAAACATGCCACTGTACAAAAATAACTTCATTTATAATTTTAAAATTTCAAAGAAAAATGAGAATATTTGAAGCTACTTACAGTAGATTTTTCAGGGGAAGATGGAACATCAAATGCCTCGTTAATATGGTTTTCCAGATCTTGTTGCGAATGTGAATAATACATTTGGTTCCAGCTGTTTTTCTTCGATTGTTTGGGCGGTAAAGCTGGAGGCTGCCCATCCCCAGGGGTCTCTTGTGATCTAGATAGGAAAAAGGAAAAGAATGAATTGTTACTAAAAGCTAGAATCAAGCAACTCAGATATTTACAATGTCTAGTCAGAGACAAGCTTTAGCCCTGACCGGTTTGGCTCAGGGGATAGAGCGTCAGCCTGCAGACTCAAAGGTCCCAGGTTTGATTCCAGTCAAGGGCATGTACTTTGATTGCGGGCACATCCCCAGTAGGGGGTGTGCAGGAGGCAGCTGATCGATGTTTCTCTCTCTCTATCCCTTTCCCTTCCTCTCTGTAAAAAATCAATAAAATATATTTTTAAAAGAAGACAAGCTTTAAATACCATATTGATTTGCAAATGCTACTGTTTAATGAAATATTTTTACGGTTGAAGTTTAAATAGCATATTTAATTTCCTACTTTATCAAATCTGTAATCAATACTACATATAATAAAAATCTATGTCAAGGGTATCCGTGTGAAGATGTTTATTAATCTACTATAACAGTGTATATACCTTTCCAAAAACCTTTTTAAAAAAGTTTTCAGTGCAGTCATACGAATAGCCAGGGAACAAGGCAGGCAAAGAGAAATAAGAACTGAGAGTTGAGCCATTCCACAGGTAAAACAACTGGTAGTCTAGAGAAGTTAAGTGGCCCAATTTATTTAAAAATAAAACACGATTAATGAGAGTAATGAACTCAATGCTGCAACCAGGATTAGAATCTGATTAAAAATGCTGAGATCACCGAAAAGACAAAACTGAATGAGACCTTGTTAGAGTATATAACTTAAGGGGAAGAAGAGGAAATCCAATTAACATTAGAGAACATAAGCCACAGTCTGTTACAGGGGGTACTGATAAAAAAAAAAAAAAAAGCTAGGTAAAATAGGGGAAGTGTCAAGGTAAAAAAATTGTAGCTTTTGAGAATAGAGAACCGATGATGGTTGCCAGAGGTGAGAGCGGCTTGGGTAGTGGGTGAAAAAGGTGAAGGGAATAAAAAGTACAAATTGGTAGTTACAAAATAGTCAAGGGGATATAAAGTACAGCAAAGGGAATATAGTCAATAATATTGTAATAACTATATATCGTGCCAGGTGGGTACTGAAAATATTGGGGGAAACACTTTGTAAAATATGTGATTTGTCTAACTACAATGCTGTATACCTGAAACTAATTCAAATAATATTGAATGTAAACTGTAATTGAGACACAAAATAATAAAAGTACAAGTACAGCGTATGTTAACGTTACTTGTGAATTTCTCACAAAGACCAGAAGGTGGAGCCAGTGGTTCAACTTGTATGCTAGAAGGCATGCATCCAGGAAGCTGTGGAGTTGAGACCAGGCAAGGGAAAAATGGTCCTTGATAAGAGCACTGACCATCGCTGGGCTTATTACTTATCTCTGAGATGGCAGGAGGTCCTTTGGGGAAAATAAAATAATTACCGTCCATTGCTTAAGGACAGATAAGAAGTTAATAGCTGCTGTGATACTCAGGCACGTATTTTACTCAGTTTCTGTTTATTTTTGTTGACTAACAATATATGCCAAAGATACAAGCTATAAGGCCTTGAGGAAGTAGAACTGTATTCGATTATATTGCTGTTCAAAAATCATTCTTCACCCTTCCCATTTGACATTAAGCTTGGCTGTATGACTTGCTCTGGCCAATAAAATATGAATAGAAGTGGTATGCTTCTCCTTTTGAAAGGGAGCTTTAAGGAACGGTTCTGGACTCATTATGCTTCTCTTTTTCCTCAGCCATGATCAGCCACGTCCCAAACAGGGGCTGGTGTCAGTCTGGGTCCTGGAATAAAAAAGACATGGGTCGAGGCATAGTCGATCCATGATGTACATATGTTATAAGAAAAAAATAATCTGTGTTGCAAGTCACTGTAAGTGGGGTAATTTGCTATAGCATGGCATACTTTAGCTCAATAACTAATACACAGATTACTGCCACAGTGGCCCTTAGATGCTCTCCCTTGGTAGAGAAGCTGTGAACTTAGAGGCTCCCTGCTAAGTACCTGGTGACTATTGGTAGGGAACTAAAAATCTGATTAGTGCCAAGGAAGTCAGAGGGATTAATAATGAATGGTGTAACTTTATGTCCTCCAGGGAGGGTTCCCTAATGAGAATTATAGTCCTTCTGAAATTGAATAAGCCACTATAAAATATAATAATTAAGTAGGTAAACAAGAATGCCCACTCAGTCTAACTTTCTACATAGAAGTCTGCAGAGCATAAAATGCTCTCAATTCTGATAAACCTATAAACTGCATCAGAGAATATACCTCTCCTTTTTAGCAAAAGCTTCTTTGAGGTATATCTTGATGGCCAGGGATTCCAGGTACTAAACATACTAGTTTTTATTCTATTAGTTTCAACTGCTAAGAAACCATGCCTCTAAGATTCAATACAATCTAATGCTGTGGGTCCAAAAAAAATGTTCCCACAGATTAGAATACAGACATGAATGCCGTGCTACAAGGGATTAAGAAAGATGAAGGTGGACATCTCTTGGAAGAGCCTCACAGATGAGACATTTCTAAAAAGCAGTTGATTAAAAGCCTCCAATACTTAAAACAAAACAAAACCAGAAGTTCCTGGATTCCACGTATTTCGATCAGTAGGTCTCATTATTCCTTACTTATGCAAGGTGAAGAGAAACGTTTCCTAATTTTGTATTCAGCTGTCATACTCAAGAAACATTTAGCTTCAAACTAAAAGTCTGTAGGGAAGAGTGTAAGGGCCGAGATCAGATAGGAATGGAGTCAGAGCGACTTTCTTTATCCTTGGTCCACTAATAGTCTAAATATAGTGCCAAAATATGCTACAAACTGATGCCCGATCTGTAGTGTAACCGCTCAGTGAGCCAAACCTGGTGTGTCTGGGCATAACAATGGTGATGTTCAGTTACAAGAGAGGGACAGCACTGGCATTACAGGACATTTTGCTAAAACCACTGAATCTGCATTTCTGGAGTAAGATAAGGCAAATATGGCAAAAAAAGCTTGAGAAGTGATTTTTATTATGTACTTCTGAATAGAAATCACTGTCTTAGGATAGTGGCCGCAAATTTGCAGATTGTGAAACAATTTTGGCCAACATACATTTGGCTCATTAATTGCTTTTGTAAAATGTGAGTTAATTGACATTAAAAATTACATGCAAATATGGATTTCCAGAATGAAAAGTTTGGACGTTCTTGGAAGAATGGACCTAAATTATAGGTTATCAACCACTGGACAAAGCCAAGGGGTAGGTGCTGCCTTTAAATGGGTCATGGGTATTCAAGACCACATAAATCTCACCCTGTGTTACTTGCTAGACTCCAGTGGGTATTTGAGTATAACTCTCCTTTAAACATTCCTAGCTGCAGGAAGGCAACAATAGGAAGAGAACACAAGCATACAGGTTTGGGTTGGCATTTAAGCCAAATTCTGAAGAAAAGGTTAAGAGAATGGAGTGTAGACAGAGCATCAGCCAAGATGTAACAGAGGAAAGAACATAATTTTGGGTTTCAGAACATGGGCTATCTACCTTCCTTTATCGTTTTGTGTAACTTTCTTGTTAAAATAACTTCTCAGAGGATGGTAGACAGGTTCTTGACATGAATGGTTGCTATTAGGGCTAGGAAGCTTGGGGAAGCTTCTACAAACTATTTGCTCTCCCAGTAACTGCTTTCCCTTTCTACGTTTCCACTTCAATAACCAAACCATCTCTCTACCTACATACCTGTTTACCTACCTATCTACCTATTTACCTACCTACCTAAAATACAGTCTCTAAAAGTAATTAAGGATGCCAACATAGACTACTGAAATTCGTATTTTGGACAAAGGTTATCAATTACATTTTAAAGACATACTCCAAAAGTATTAACTCAATTTATGATAAGTTCCTTCTACATATCTAATGTACAGCTGTCATATACTCACTCAATTATATAGAAAAATGACTTTCATAGGTAAACCATGCATTATAAATATAAATTATAATATGTTTAAATACTGTCATGAAACAGGCCAGTTCTAAAAAAATATATACCATTTCTAGGCCAAAAGAATCCACACCCCCAAATCAAAAGCAAAACCAAACAAAAAACCCTGCTAAGTATAACAGAACAAACAGACATCATATACACAGTAAAAACAGCCAAGCAGCATAGTGAAAGATATACCCACTAGAAATAACAGCTGGCACCCTAAAAGAAGGGACCTATAACTTAACAAGAAGGCCAGCATTCACTATCAAGTTTTAAACCCAGTCCTTGGCCAGGACTAGGGAAATAGAAACCAAAGAGAAAGGTTGGGATCAGAGGTGTGGCTGGAGTCTTACAAGTAGAGATAATTATTTGACTTTAAAGTGAGAGTTGGAAAAGATCTAATAGGAAGAATATAGAAAAAAAATGATACTTATAGAAAGAAAAATGACAAGATAAACACTAAAAATTGTGAATTAAAAATATGCTCAAGGTTTAACTGTACATACATACCTTTCATAGAAGCATAAAGTTTATTCTAATTTAAGATTAGAAAACAAACAAAAACCAGGAATAACGGCTCCCTTTAAAACTCTTATTTTCTAGGGTACATACCAGGAGGTCATATCCTATTCAACTATAATCACCAGTGTCACCCCAGTCTTCACTGGGCCTTTAACCCTACTATAAATAAAATACAGATAAAATTCTGGTTCAAAATTCAGACTTTCTCAATACTGGCTAATTTATAGTGACATTCAGAGTATTTCAGAGTAAACACCATTTCAGACTGATTGCTAATGAGGTCCCAGAACTGAGATTCAGGGGTTCAACCAAATTCCAAGTCCCTGACCTTAGCTGCCAAATGCAAGTAGTGGAGACTTGCCAGAGATGGAGGGCAGGTAAGTATACTGAGATCTGCAATTAGTCTTGTCATAAGTACAACATCTAAGATAGTGCATCCTCTAAGTCCCTAGGGCTTGATACTTCCTTCCATCCACACCTTTTTTGGTTCTTTTATTTCCTTACCCTAGAGCAGCCT